CCAATGTTGAGAAGTACTTAAAGGCAGTTTTTACAATTTGGAAATAATAATCATATCCACTTTCCTATAGCCCTTGAACCTTTTTACCCTAATTAACTATGTAAAGATTCTCAAAATATAATTTTAAAAAAAGGGCAGTTTTTAGGTGCCTGTGTATGTAATTACCCACTAGTAGTAAACAAAACTGTCTCTGGAGTGGGCGTTTTGCATATTGGGTTAGGCTGCCACTTGGAATGCCTGTGTTCCATATCCAAGTGCCTGATTGGAGGTCCAGCTGCTTTGCACTTCTAATAGAGCTTCCCTCTAGTGTTCCTGGGAGGCAGCAAATAGTGGCCTAAGGACTTGGGTTCCTGCCACTGAATGGAAGATCAGATCAAGTTCTGGCACCTGGTTTCAGCCTGACTTACTCCTAGCTGTTAAGGGGCATTTGGTGAAATGAACCAATGGGTAGAAGAGACTTATTTCTCTCTCTGTTATTCTATCTTCCAAATAAATAAATAGTCGATATTGTGACACAGTGGATTAAACAATTGCTTAAAATGAGAGAATCCTCACTTTGGACTACTGGTTCAAGTCTTTGCTGCTCCATGCTGTACTAGTTCCCTGCCAACGGGAAAACAGCAGATGATAATTGAGTTCCTGGCTTCAGTCTGGCCCAGCCCTGGCTGTTGTGGCCATTCAAGAAGTGTACCAGGAAATGAAGGGTAGTTCTGTATCATTCTGCTGTGTCTTTTTTATTTTTCAAATAAATAAAACTTTGGAGACAAAAAGTCTTTTAAAAAAAAGAAAAAGCAATGTCTTTGTGATATTGTGGGTTGGGGAGAGAGATCCTATTTATTATGATTACTTTGTAGGTTTTTTTCCCCTTGCTTATATATGTTTCAAAATTCCAATAATATTATATGAATGAAATGGCTTTTGTAGGGTAAATACATATTTAGGTGCTTAATCTTCAAGTTTCACTGATAATAAATTCATGGTTAAATTTGACGTATCTTGGAATCTGGACAGCTATCCTAATCAGTGATAGATGATATCATGTGTTGCTTAAACACAGATATATTCTGTAAAATCATATGCATGTACCTGAGCCAAGTAAGATACCTGCCATGGTCATAGATTATACAATCTCCTGGGACCATTGATGTAAAAGCAATTCATCATCAACTGCAGAGTCACCATGTGATGTGTGACTGTGTGAAAGGTTTTGTTACAGGTTATTTGAATCAAACAATAATTCAGCTTATTAGTATTGCTTTTATTTTAATGAAATTACAATAGTGTTAGTATGACCAAGTTTGTGTAACATATCCTAGATAGTGAGCTCCTCTATGTAATGGTTTGCTGTGATCAGTCTGTGCTTCAGCAGCAGCTGTGTCACAAAGTCCTTGATTGCTTAGAAGTTTTTGCACTGAAATGACTAATAGGCAGAATGAAGCTACTCTGCTCCCTGTTTTTTTTCCTCTTGCTTTTGGAATCGGAGTAATCTTTTAACAGCTAAGCTTGTGACCATCAACACTGAGGTTGTCGTTATGGTTGAGCTAAAATAGAATACTCTGCTTAAGTTAGCCTTTTGATTTTGGAATTGATTAAAAGTCTTAAGTTGTGTTTCTCAGAAAAACTGGCTGAGTAACATTTCATCACAATTCTCGTGTATAATTTGAAGCTTCACTGAGCAGAAGGGAATTCATGGAAACTTCTAGCTTGTGTGAAATTGTATACTGTTAGTTTCATAGGTCTTTCAGAGTGAGGTTTTGATTTTCACTGTGATTGTTTCACTGGACCTGAATATTTTTGCAGTTTTACATGTGTGTGGTTAGTTAAAAGACCAGGTAACACTTCACCAGCTAAGTTCACAGATACTGTAGTTAGACATAACTCCTGAAAGAGTAACTGACTTATGTTACAATTTTAATTAGTAAGTATATTATGAGAAAGGAACTTTGAGCACTATTGAATATTATTGCCAAGTATATCTCTTTTTAAAAATGTTTATTTTTATTTGAATGACAGATTTATAGGGAGAAGGGGAGACAGAAAAATGTTCCATCTCTTGGTTCACTCCCCAAAAGGCCACAGTGGCTGGAGCTGAGCCAGTCCAAAGCCAGGAGCAGGAACTTCCTCCTGGTCAGCCACGCAGGTTCAGAGACTTAAGGTTATGGGTCATGTTCTGCTTTCCCAGCCTACAGGCCAGGAGCAGGATGGGAAGTGAGGCAGCTGAACATGATCTGGCACCCATATGTGATCCCTGGTTTTTGCAAGGTGAGGATTTAATCATTGAGCCATGGCACTTCTATATCTTTTTTTAAATTAATTTTTATTTCTTATATATAGATATACACATATATATGTATATATTTATTTATTTATTTATGACACAGTTTCATAGGCTTTGGGATTCCCCCAGCCCCTCCCCAAGCCCTCTCCCATATTGAATTGCTCCATATAGTTACAGTAGTACAGTTCATAACCAGTCATGATTCCTTCATTGCAGGCATGGATCATGTGTAATGTCCAACATCCTATTATTCAGATAAATTCAACAGTTTCATTGGGAGACCATCCTTGGTCTGAAAGTAGAGCTGGCAGAATATCAGCCCCTCCAATGAGATGTCACTACACAACTTTAACAACAGGAAGAAACATTGAAATTAACAACATCATGAAGTTAATTATCGTGGTATTGAGTGACCAATATGTTAGAAAATGCAAGTTCTTAACCACATCCTGTAACTACTTCCTTGACATCTCAATTTTAGCATATATACAACTGGCTGCTATAAACCTTTACATATATATATATTTATATATATGTACAAGCACAAAAGGACTTGGAGAAATGGTTGTTCCTACTTTTGTCTGTATTTTTTTTCTGACTTGTAAGTTACGTAAAAGTAACCCACTGCTTAATATCTTTTTAAATATGTGTGTGTGTGTGTACGACAACTGTCTCTAGATTTTCTGAGGATGTATATATTCAACCTTATTTTAACTTTGCAAGATTAGGGTTTGCTTCCATGTACTGGTTGACCATTTTTTTTTAAAGATTTATTTATTTTTATTGGAAAGTCAGATATACAGAGAGGAGGAGAGACAGAGAGGAAGATCTTCCGTCCGATGATTCACTCCCCAAGTGATCTCAACAGCCGGTGCTGTGCCAAACCCAAGCCAGGAGCCAGGAACCTCTTCCGGGTCTCCCACGCGGATGCAGGGTCCCAAAGCATTGGGCTGTCCTGGACTACTTTCCCAGGCCACAAACAGGGAGCTGGATCGGAAGTGGAGCTGCCAGGATTAGCTCCAGCGCCCATATAGGATCCCCGCACGTTCAAGGTGAGGACTTCATCCACTAGACCATGGTGCTGGGCCCCTGGTTGACCATTCTTTTTTTTTATGATTTTTTTTATTGGAAAGGCGGATATACAGAGAGGAGAGACAGACAGGAAGTTCTTCCGTCCAATGATTCACTCCCCAAGTGAGTGCAGTGGCCGATACTATGCTGATCCAAAGCCAGGAGCCTCTTCCGGGTCTCCCACAGGGTGCAGGGTCCCAAAGCTTTGGGCTGTCCTTGACTGCTTTTCCGGGCCACAGGCAGGAGCTGGAAGGGAAGCGGGGCTGCCGGGATTAGAACCGGCGCCCATATGGGATCCCGGGCATGCAAGGTGAGGACCTTAACCACTGCGCCACCACGCTGGGCCCTGGTTGACCATTCTTAAGGCCCACAGTGGCTGGGGTCCAAAGCTCAGGGAGCCAGGAGCCAGGAACCCATTCCCTTGAGCCATTATGGCTGTCTCCTCATGGTCTGCATTGTCAGGAACCTGGAGCCAGGAGCCAGCACTCAGAATGCACCCATGCACTCAGCTGTGGGAATTAAAATGCTGCTGTTCCTAGTCCAAATGTCTGCTCCTGCTGTGCCCAGCTTCTGTCATAGAGAATCTTTAGGATTGTTTCACATCCCCAAAGCACTGGGGGTTTGGCATGGAGCTATCTGAGCAGCAATCAAAGAACCAAAATCCCAGAGCTCTCTGGCCGGGCGGCCAGCAGGTGGACCCTAGCACCAAATGGTATATTGGCCGCCCGGGGCAGTTCCCCATGTGGGCGTGGGAGCTGCTGTGTGGTTACCAGGCATGAAACGGCCTGTTCCAGGGCCCCCAGGCCCAAGTCCAGCCCTCCTGGTCTTGTCCCCAGCTCTAGCCCTGCCCTGAGCCAGCAGTAGGACCGCCCAAACCAGCTTCACAAAACTCTGAGACTTATTCCAAAGGAAGGGAGCCTACGGCTGCGGCAGGCCCTGGGCAGCTCCCCATGTGGGTGTGGGAGCTGCTGTGTGTTTACCAGGCATGAAACTGCAGGTCCAGGATCCCCAGGCCCAAGTCCTGCCCCTTCCTGGTCTTGTCCCCAGCTCTGGCCCCGCCCTGGGCTAGCAGTAGGACCGCCCTATACTTCTATTTTAAAGAATGTAATGGAGAAATGTTACTTGTTACTTTTTCTCCTTAGATTTATATTGTGAATCAAATAATGACATACCATGTATCTTTTATATGAAGTAATACAAGTGTCCCAGTGTGATTTGGGAAACCTTTCATCTTGGTCCTTATGTATTTCATATATAGGCTTACAATAATCCTTTTTTCAAAAGATTCATTTGTTTTTATTGGAAAGGCAGATTTAGAGAAGGAGAGGCAGAAAGGTCCTCCATCTGCTGGTTTACTCTCCAAATACTCTGCTTTCTCAGGCCACAAGCAGAGAGCTAAATGAGAAGTGAAGCAGCCAGCACATGAATTGGTACCCATATGGGATGCCAGCACTTGGCAGGGGAAGGATTAACCAATTGAACTATTGCGCTACCCCCAACTTAGTTCTTATTAAGCTGTACTGTGTTCTCTGTTCCTGTGCATAGAAAACATCAGAATTTTTCTACTTTGAAGTACACACAACATTTGCATTGGTTTTATTGACTTCCAAATTTTAAAAATATATGTTATTCTGTCATTTGGCTTTCAGGGAGATGCCTACTTAAAAGAGTGGCGACAGCTGGACCACATGCTTCACTGCTGAATTAGTTCCTCAGGTACCCTGACTGTGGACATTGCTATGGGAGATTGGATGACTGTTACAGATCCAGGTCTGTCCTCAGGTAACTGAGTCTCTAATAAATGTAAATTGCATTGTGCATCATAGAGGTGAATTTTTCAATGAAAATAGTCACAAATACTGAAGATGTTACTCGAGAGTATAATAAATGGCTATAAATGCCTGATTTTCTTCAATTTCAATAAAATTGTCAAGGACAGCTAGGAATATGCCATAATTATTAGAGCTAAATGCTCTGGGTAAATAACTATGTATTATTTTTAAGAGGAATTTTTATACATTTTAAATATATTCAGTGGCTACTCTGTTTTTTTTCTGATTTTTTTATTCTAAAGATTTATTTTATTTGAAGAGCAGAGAGAATCTTCTATCTAACTGATTTAATTACTAAGTGGCTGGAATGGCTAGGGGTAGGCTGTGCTGAAGCCAGGAGCTCCATCCTGGTCTCCCATATGAGCACTTTGGACATCCTTTGATGCTTTTCCAGGTGCATTAGCTGGCACTAGGTTAGAAGTGGAGCATCCAGGACTCAAACCAGTGCCCATACAGGATGTTGGCAGTGCAAGTGGTAGCTTAACTCGTGCCACAGTACTGGCTCCCAATTTATTTCTCTAATCACATAATGTTTTAGTCACACAGGCAAGTGGATTTTGTTTTATTTTTTCATAGTTAAGAATGTTTGTAAATGTTATGAATGACAGACAACAGATTGATAATCCACTGGTTCACTCTTCAAATACCTGCAACAGTCAGGACTGGGCCAAACTCGAGAAAGGAACCTGGAACTCTGGGTCTCTTGCATGGCTGGCAGAGATCCATCTTGAGCCCAAACGATTCACCTCAGGGTGTGCATCAGCTGGAAACTGTAACGGGAAATGAATGCCCACTCCTTGTCATTTTGATCAACTGAAAGTAGTGCAAGTTAGGATTGTATGTTGTTAGCTAATAAGCCTACTAAGAATGCCACGTTAATAGTAGTATTTTTTAAATGGTAGTTTTTATATAAAAAGAACTTTATCTTAATTTGAAGATACTTAAAAATGAGTGTTTTAAGAGCTTTGGTAATAGAAATTGTGTTAGTTACTGTGTTTCTTTGATTTTTTTTCAGAAAATAAAAATATCTCTCAGTATACCTCAGAAACAAAGATGTCCCCATCAAGTTTATACTCACAGCAAGTGCTATGTTCTTCAATACCTTTATCAAAAAATGTTCACAGTTTTTTCAGTGCCTTCTGCACAGAAGAGAATATCGAACAGAGTATTTCATATCTTGATCAGGTAACATGTTTCTCTAAGAAGAAATAGCCTGAATCATAAAATGGAATGTGCTATGATTATGAGATTTATCAAGTACGAGATTATTAGCATGTAGTGTAGCCCAAGATAATGTATTAGGATGAGAGAGTACTGTGATGATGTTCTGATCTAGACTAAGGTTAACTTTTATTTAGAGTAGCTTGGCTACCCCATTAATACCAAGGGCTCCAACACTGAGAATCTGTCCATTCATCTTCTGTTGCCATAACGAAATACCTGAGGGTGGTAGGTGCTTCACACAGGGAAAAATTATGGTGAGATTGTAGTTTTAGGGGCTTAAAATTCACTGTATTGAAACTTGTTTATGTTTAGTAGAAGCCCAGTGAGTTGGCTATCCTCACTTTATAACAGCTGCTCTAGCAAGAATTTTACTCGCACGGCAACACTAACAGCAACCTCTTCTAAGTACATGACTCCCAATAACCTAATCATCTTGTGTTTAGCCTTGCATCCTAAAGGCTGCACCACCTGTCCCATCACCACATTGGGGACCAAGTTTCCAGCCCATGATCTCTGGGGAGACAAGTCATTGCAGAGTGTAACCTTCATTGTATTACTGCAAAAACCTCAGTTCTTTACTGCAGGTCACAGGGGATTGTAGGGCTTGATTCTCAGTCCTTTGGAAGTTCACTGTTTAAGGATACTTTTCCTGTTTTTCTCAGAAAAGGTTTGTGTTTACCAAGCTGTCCAATAAGCAACTTAAAAAGTTATCTTTTTAATTTTATATATATATATATATATATATATATATATATATGTCAATCCTGTGCAACATGACATTTTAAAATGTCAGGATTATGGAGTGACTCATTGAGCTTTCACATATGTGTTACCTCCTTACAACTTTCTGTGGTGAGAACAGGTAAAATGTACTCCTCAGCAGTTTTCCAAGGATACAGTACATTGTTAGCTACTGACAGCCACAATGTACAACAGGGCTCTCCAACTTCCCCTCTGAGATTTTGTAACCTTTGACAACTCCCTGTCTGCAGCTGACATTTAAGAAAACATTTTCTCCTACCAGGAATTGACTACTTTTGGTTTTCCTTCATTGTACGAAGAGTCCAAGGGTAAAGAAGCAAAGAGAGAATTAAATATAGTTGCTGTTTTAAATTGCATGAATGAGCTGCTTGTGCTTCAGCGGAAGAACCTTCTGGTTCAGGAGAATGTGGAGACACAGAACCTGAAACTGGGCAGTGACATGGACCATCTGCAGAACTGCTACTCCAAACTGAAGGTAGAAACCTGCACTTCAATCTGGGTGTCAGTGCCATTTTACATGGTTCACTGTTGTGCATTTTCATTCACTTTATCAAACTTCATTCAGTAAATTTAATACAGTAAATTTTCATTTTTATTAAATTTTAGCATTATTTTAAGAAACTTTACACTTTTTTCAACTAGTAAGTAAAACTGAGTTTTTATAAATCAGTTTTATCTTCTCATATTTATATCCAAGGCATTGCTTTTATGAACTATTTAATGTTATGCTTAATCCAAAGAAAGGTTAGGAACTCTGTTCTGAAGAAAATATGGCCTCCTCTATTCCCTCCGAGCTTGCATAGTAAAGTAATTTCAAAGTTACTCTGAGAGGCTGTATCATTTAATTCCATAGAAACATGCTTGAGGTCTATTTGCCAAAAAAGTTAGAACTTTATAAAGTAAATGAGGTAGATATTTTCTAACTCTTTGAAGTCTCTAGAGTCCTAGAAAAAACATAGAAAAGTACTTTAGAAACTTAAGTTTTCTCTGTATCAAGGATGTTTTTTCAGGGCCATGGTCTTGGTATGCTAAAATATTGAACATTCCTAGTTTGTGTTTTTCTTTCTCTTATTTATACCCTTATCTAAAATGTGTGTGCATATATGTGTGTGTATTTAGAACAACATTTGTAAGCCTTGTAAAATTAGTAACTTAATAATTAGCCTGCTATAGGTTTACTGAATTTGAGTCCCTTCTGCATTTTTTGTGGCAGGGACAAAGGATATGTTTTTTCTGACCTTATACAGGCCCCAGGCCAGATTCTTCCCACCACTGGTTTAAGGAACTTTTCATTTGTTGGAACTCCCAAGAACATAGAATGTTTTTTCCAGAATGTCTTCCAATTTGTGATGTTCACCTGGATCAGAATCTTATTTTGAATTTTGAAAGTTTGTCTATTTAGCATATGGATTTGTTTCATTTGTTCAGCAAAATTTGTTTAGTTTTGTGTACTACCAGGCACTGAGTTTCAAAAATGAGTGAAACCTCAGTCCCATTTTCAGGGGGATTACAGTCCAAGGAAAGGAGACACATTGAGTGGTAATTGATGTATTAATTGTTCTTGCTGTGTGGGAGGGGATGAGGAGGGTATGGAAGGCTTCATAAAGAGTTACACTTTGATATTTGAAGAATAAAGTAGGAATTTGCTAGTGTTTGCAAAACGACATTTCAGGCAAGCTATGTAAAAAGCCTTGGGAGAGATGTGAGAGAGTACACTTTCACAGAACCCAAGGCAGCTCTGTGGGTGGCGGAGAGTATGGTGAATAAGAGCGGAGCCTGAGCTGCACATGGTGTAAAAGGCATTGTTCAGAAAACTGATGCACTGAGCAATTGAAAATGGAAGGCATCATGCGAGTACCCTTCTGGTCATAGTGTGGGAAAATTAGAGGGGTGGAGAGTTGTATTTGGGTTGGAAATAGGGGACTTTTAAACCCTGATGAGAAAAAGGATATCTGTTAGCTGGTTTCCATGGAAGGTTTGGACTGGAACTGAGGGAGTGCCAGTGGGGATACCAAGGATGGGATTTGGTGAAGAGTCAGGAAGTAGGATTGGTAGCATTTTATGAAAGATGGACTTGGGGCCATAAGAGTGGTGGATTGAAGATGCCTCTTTCCTTACAGTAGTGTTGTGACTGCCTGAGACTGGAAGGAAAGGAGTGTGATTTTAACAATGCTCAGTGGCAGCAAGATGATGTAGGGGACGATCTCTTGAGAAGCTTGTGTGTGTGTAATACATTAAATAAATACTTCTATTGTGATTAAATATATTAAAATTTAATGTGTAAATTTGCATTTTATAGTGTAGAACATATGATTTCTTTAAATAAATTGATAACTACAAATCTCCAATTTTAGCCAACAGATTTTGTAACGGTGTTTGTAATTTCTTGTTGTTAATCTTTTAAGAATTCAGTTGTTCTGAATCCTTTGTTATTGCTAATCAGAATTACCTGTGGATGTTTTAGGACCAGCTGGAAGCCTCCAGGAGAGAAATGATTGGGCTTCAGGAAAGAGACAGACAGTTACAGTGCAAGAACAGGAATTTGCATCAGCTGCTAAAAAATGAGAAAGATGAGGTGAGTGTGTAAATGAAGTGTGAAATTGTGTGTGTGTGTGTGTGTGTGTGTGTGTGTGTGTGTGTGTGTGTGTGTGTGTGTGATCTGTAGTGGCTATAATGGCCATCTTAATTTAGAAAACAGTGAACCTTTTATCCATCTTGTATCTTAATTAGTATTTTGGAGATCGTTGTATAAGATAGCATCACATTAAATTAGAAGGTTGGCAACCCCTTTCCTCCACAGCCCTCTAATACTGCCCCCAGCAGATCCATTTGATGCAGTATAGGTTAAGCATCCTAACCCTAAGATCCTAAATGCTAAAGTCCATGTCTGTCCTCATGCAGTGGGTTGCAATCAGGACAGGTTAGTAAAATAATTGTATACTAAATTACTAAAAACATTGTATAAATTCTGAAAGTATTATCTAAAATTACTTGCAGCCTTTGTGTATGAGAGACTTGTGTTTGAACTTGAATTCCATCAACAAGAAATCTCATGTGTACACAAATATTCCCAGATCCAAAAATTGAAACACTTCTGGTTCCAGGTGTTTGGGATAAGGATTGTTCAGTGTCCTGTCCTTCCTGGATTCAAATTGACTGTCTCTTTTTCTGGGAACCAGGGTCTGCAAATACAGATCTGTCATTCTCTGCTGTAACTGTAAGGATCCCTGCCATAGCTCTTTTAACAATATCTTAAATATTACCATTGCTCATCCAGTCTGACTACAATGCTGTATAAGCAATTCACATTAAAAGTCTTATTTCTAAGGAAAAGATACAGCTACAGTGGTTACTTACTAGTAGTTACTTAGAAAATAGTAAATCTTTTGAGATAATTTTAATTACTATTTTGGTGGTTATTTAGACCTGTAGTATTAATGCATTTGAAAATAATATTTTTAAAATATGTAAGAAAAATTTCTTCAGTCTGACTCTTAATTATGTAATAACTGTATAAATATAACTTAATTTCAGTGTTTTACAGGTTTTAACTAAAATTAAAAACTTAGACAAGTATTTCTTTAAAAAGGCCCTTAAAGTAATTTAGGTAGATACATTTTATAACATTTGTGTTTTAGTAGTATATTTAGTAAGTGGACAATTAATCTCTTAACAAAATAATAGTTGCATTATCAAACTACAGAAAAATGTATATGTGCTTATGTATACATCTGTATGTGTATGTGTGTATCCATCCCTGAAAGTGTTTCAGAGCATTTTAATTTGGTTTTTTGCTTACACTGAAGCAGTTTGATCCATCTTTGTTAGTGGTTGAGTTCATCTGCTCATCTCCAGTGGAGGTTGAGAGTGGCTGTACGATAGAATGTGGTTCCTATCAGGAGCAGCCTGGAAAGCTGTAGTAGATACACAGTGAAGAGCAATACCTGACACATTATAGATACTCTGAGGGATTTAAACAGGCTTACTATTTCTTTTCTTTTTTTTTTTAAGATTCATTTATTTTTATTGGAAAGGCATATTTACAGAGAGAGGAGAAATGGAAGGATTTTACATCCACTGGTTCACTCCCCCAGTGGCCATAATAGCCAGAGCTGAGCCCATCTAAAGGCAGGAGCTTCCTCTGAATCTCCTGTGCGGGTGCAGGGCCATGCTTCATTGCTTTCCCAGGCCATAAGCAGGGAGGTAAATGGGAAGTAGAGCAGCCAGGATACAAACTGGTGCCCATATAACACGTGGCACTTGGAGGTGGAGAATTAACCAGCTGAGCCAATGCACCAGCCTGTTTATTGAGAACAGTTTGCCTGATGCCATGTGCCACTGGCTGATAGATGTTGTCATAAATTGATGAGAAGTAAAGTGAATACAAGTAGGTATAAGGATGTCACTCCAGATGATGTGATAAATCATTTTAGTTTTAGATGAAGCCTTAATCATCTTTGAATTTAGATTTTATTTTCTGCCTTATCAGAAATTGTGGAGTAAAAGGTGTAGTATATAATTTAGCAATTTGATGTGTCTGGAAATTAAGAAAATCAAAACTTTGTGTTCACTTAATTGTGTCTTTTTAAAACATATTTATTTACTTATTTGAAAGACAGAATTAAAGAAAATGAGGGAAAGAGAAATATGTCTGACATCTAGTAATTCACCTCACCAAATGGCTGCCGTGACTGTCGCTGAGCCAAGCTGAAACCAGGAGCCTAGAACTCCATCCACTTCTTCCATGTGGGCCACAAGGGTCCAAGCACTTGAGCCACAATTTTCTGCTTTCTCAGGGCACATTAGCAGGGAGCTGGATTAAAAATGAAGCAGTTGGAACTTAAACTCACACCCATTTGGGATTCCGGTATTGCAAGTGGTAGCTTAACACACTTATTCACAATATTAACCCCAAATTTAATGATATCTTTTTTTTTTTAAAGATTTATTTTTATTATTTTTTTCATTGGAAAGGCCAGATATACAAAGAGGAGAGACAGAGAGGAAGATCTTCTGTCCGATGATTCACTCCCCAAGTGAATGCAACGGCCAATGCTATGCCGGTCCAAAGCCAGGAGCCTCTTCCGGGTCTCCCACACGGGTGCAGGTTCCCAAAGCTTTGGGCTGTCCTCGACTGCCTTCCCAGGCCACAGGCAGGGAGCTGGAAGGGAAGCGGGGCTGCCGGGATTAGAACCGGCGCCCATATGGGATCCCGGGCGTGCAAGGCGAGGACCTTTAACCACTTGCGCCACCGCGCTGGGCCCAATTTAATGATATCTTAAAGAATGGTTTCCTGTGGTTATGGACAAGGAAACATCATTCCAGAATTTTATAACTATTAACATGGTAACTTAAATGCTGGGATTGCTTGCTTTTGAATGTGGATTTTAACTGGGTTTATCAATCCTCATTTGATAGAAAATGCTTTTTTCAGGTACAAAAATTACAAAGTATCATTGCAAGTAGAGCTACTCAGTATAATCATGATATGAAAAGAAAAGAACGAGAATACAATAAATTAAAGGAACGTCTACATCAGCTTGTGATGAACAAAAAGGATAAAAAAATAGGTAAGCAACTGGCTGAGTACAACTGTAGGAGTACACTAATGTTATGCTAAGAAATGTGAAAGGATTCAGCCCAGTAACTGCTGGGGCAGTGTTTTCATGCTTTGTGCAGTTGGTTTTAGATGGTCTTCTTCTGTATAAGCCAGAAATATAGACAACTGCTTTGTGAAAGTTACTTTGCTTTGCTGCATTAGTTGCACATACTATTTTAACATAACCAGAATAGGGTTAATCATAGAGGAGCACAAAGCTGGGGACAATGTAATCTTCCAAAGAAAAGAACCAATACTATGAAAAAGCAGCATCAATTTCCAAGTATCAAAAAAATTAATTTGGAATTAACTTCATAAAATTGTTCTTGGACCAAATCATTCATGTCAGTTGAGTTCCTTTCATTATATTTAAATGCATTTTGAAGCACTTCGTTGTAGGGCTAGACTGTACAAGTTATGTGTGGCAAAAACATTTTTTCTGATGTTGTTCTCCAACTATAATTGATAACTGTTTCAGCGTGAATATATGCATCATTTCAACTAAACTATAGATTATGAACTAAACCCACATATACACATAAGTGGAGCTATACAGTACACTATGTGCTGGCCAGATATAATTCAGGAACAAGAAAGCCACATTTGTTCATTGAGGTGTGGTTCCTGTACGCATTTCACGCAGACTTCTAGCAGCATTTTGCAGTGGGATTCCTCAATTGTCTCTCCTAACTAAGCTGAGCTTGGGTTTCTGCACCCACGGGTGAACGTCTGTTTCAGACTGTGATACAGTAAGCTCTGCCTGCTGTCAGCAGGCATCACTGTTCTTCGTAGCAGAGATGGTGCAGTCACTTAAATATTTAATTTGAAAACTGTTAAGCAGTTAAGACAAGATGCAGTGATCTTTAAGTATTCTGAGTTAATAAACCTCGTGTCTTTGGAAAACATTGTGTTTTAAGGTTGGTTAGCATTGTACTCATTCTTTGATGAATGAGAGAGCAGGGTGAAGTGGTAAGAGTATAGAAATAACATCTAGTTGGAAAATTTTGAAATAGTTCAGTATAGAAACAGAACCCTTAGATAGGGGCTTAGCTGTTTCCCAGTCCATATCAATTGGAAGCAACAATTTCATGTTTGCAGGGGGGCCGGATGCTTTGTTCACTTGTAATATGTTATGTAGTTTAATATTTTTTTCAGTAGTCTTAACTCTTCTTGGGTGCCCACTTTTGTTGTTCTTACCATATCAATGAAGAAACAGATTTAACCTGCTTCAGTACTTTCAGGCAGTAAACGTAGAATTTGAAATTAGGCTGTTTGAGGTATATCTTAAGTTATCTACCAAGCTGATCCCTGATGTGTTTAGAGTGCATTAGAGTTGTCAACACCTGCATTTGTATGGTAAGAATTTGTTTTGTGTGTTCATGTTTGTGTAGCCATGGACGTTTTAAATTATGTGGGGAGAGCTGATGGAAAAAGAGGCTCCTGGAGGACTGGCAAAACCGAAGCCAGGTAAAGTCTGACATAACTAGACAGATTTAATCAGGCTTAACTTTTTTATATGCTATATTTTCATACTCAATAATTTCTTTCTCAGGAATGAAGATGAAATGTATAAAATTCTCTTGAATGATTATGAATATCGTCAGAAACAAATCCTAATGGAAAATGCTGAACTTAAGAAGGTTCTTCAACAAATGAAAAAGGAAATGATTTCTCTCCTTTCTCCCCAAAAAAAGAAACCCAGAGAACGGGCAGATGATGGTACAGGAACTGTAAGTAGGCCTCCCCCTTCTAATACAGTCTCAGATTGCTGCATAGAACAGTCAACTCCAAATGGGAATTCTAAGGAGGGCCTGATTGGTTTTATGAGTAAGGGATACTTGGTGATGTGCAGCCTTCAGTTTCCATGACAACTATGTAACCATCTCTCCGTCTGCAGACATGCCTGGGAAATCATGGAGATGACTTTCTGGGGACTTCCTTTGTACTAAGCACTGTGATAAACACAATATAATCATTGTCTAATTTGATCACATTTCTTATATGAGAAAGTATGTCAAATATCATATAATTTGATGACTTTAATACCATGCTTAGTGCAGTTTTATGGATGGGGACTTTGAAGTACGATGGTTACTGCTCAGCATTACACAAAGTAGAACTAGGACTAACATCAAAACCTGGCCTGCTCGAGCTTTATGGCCTCAGTGGAGCGGCTTCTGGCAAGGATGCTGGGCTAGGTGCCCTTTGGATTTAATTTAAAACATTGTGAAGTCTACCTAGAGAGTGAAACTCAGGTTAACTTTGGAAAACAAGCAGTCATGGGGTCCATAAATTTATTGAATGTTCATGATGTTTTATTCTCTTGAGAGAAAATATTTAAACTTTTTTAAAAGGTTGTCTTTTGGAGGAGAAGGGGAGACATGATTATTTATTCCATCTGTTAGGTGCTGTCGTAGTACGCTGCAAGATGTAAAGCAGACCAATTAGGGCAGCCAAGGAAGGAAACAAGAGAAAATGACGTTTGGCTTAGTTTTTAAAAAGCAGGTTGGTGTTCCTGAGCCAGAACACGTGGGGAAAGCATTTGACACGGGATGATAAATGCAGAGGTCTGAAAAAAGTCACAGAATGGCAGAAATTCTTTTTACTTCATTACTTTACAACTACGGTTAAATTCCAGGTTCCATGAAGTTTGCGTTAGTGATTACAGTCTGAAAATAGCAGTGTTGATGGAAAAAATTCATTGCCAGCAAGTCACTAAAACTTCAAACTTCTATTTGAGGATTATTTATTTTGTATTGTCACAGACTGAGCAAACCGATAAGCCCCTTTCACCTTGTTTTTTTTCCATAAACCGTCGTATGTGTGAGGTGCAACACGGCACTGACATTGGTAAGGCTGGTGATGGGGTCAGCTGCACCTCTTCCTTTTGTCCCTCTCCCCATTGCAGGCTGTCTCTGATGTGGAAGACGATGCTGGGGAACTGAGCAGAGAGAGCGTGTGGGACCTTTCCTGTGAGACCGTGAGAGAGCAGCTTACCAACAGCATCAGGAAACAGTGGAGAATTCTGAAAAGTCATGTCGAAAAGCTCGATAACCAAGGTAGCTATTGCTTCTCTGCATGTGAAGGGAGTCATGAGGCTCAGCGTCCTTTCGGCCACGTGGAAAGCCGCCTTGTGGATGCAGACTCAGCACTGTAGCTCAGTCTGGTGATCTGAAAGCAAGATTGTGCCTGCCTTTGGACATGGGGTTTGAATCTCAGTAAGAAAAGTACACACACTCCATGTGGCTCTCTTTAAAAGAGAGTACTGTTTCCAACTACTCTTAATTGCTTACGCAGCTGACACAAGACTTAAACCTTTCTTTTTTACTAATCTTGTAAATCAAGAAATACTTGGCATCATGAGGTATGACCTTTGCTTCTTGTATTTTGCAAAATTATTTTTTAACAGTTTATTTATTTGAAAAGCGGAGTTGCAAAGGAGAGGATCAAGAGAGAGCAGTATTTCCATCTGCTGGTTCATTTCCTAAATGGCTACAACAGTCAGGGTTAGGCCATGCTGAAGGTGGGAGCCTAGACGGAACTCTGTTCTGGTCTCCTCTGTATGGAGGGCAGGAGCCCACACCTCTTTCACTGCTTTTCCAGTGTCATTGATAAGGCCTGGCTCAGAAGTACAACAGCTGATGCTTGAACTCACACCCATATGAAGATGCTGGTAATGCAGTCATTGGCTTAACCTACTGTGCCAATCTTCAGTAATATCTGTACTTTCTGATCTTTTGCCTTGTTAGGTATATTTTGCATACTTTTCAATCAGGAAAATTAGATTATGCTCAATAGTGAAGTCTGTATAAAGAAAACGCAGTTTAAATTGTCAAAACCAGCAACTCAGTGCCAACTTTACATAATAAAAAATACTCAGCAAAATTACTATGTATGAAAATTAACTTGCATGAGATTTTATTATTTTGAGTCATCAGTGCCTGCTAACAATACCAGATGTGTTTGAATTTCATATTTGTTGAATTTAATCACAGCAAAATTTATACCACTGCATTTGAGGCAGTATTGTTATTTTTCTCTTCTGTGAATGTAACATATGACGTATTTTTAATTAGCACGTTATTGTATAAATGCAGATTACCAGTTGAATGTTGGCAGTAGCACTCTATTTGTGAGGATATAATTTCATCCTGGAATTATACATATGTGTAGTTCTGTGAACACCTAGATGCTATGCTTTTTAAATTTTTCATAGTTTTAAGATAATATACATTTAGTATTTTTATAGCCTATGGGTTTTTTAAAGATTTATTTTCCTTGAAAGTTGGAGTTCTAGAATGGGAGAAAAGGAGAGACAAAAAAGATCTTCAACTGCTGGTTCACTCCTCAGATGGCTGCACTGCTTAGAGCTTGGCCCATCTAGTCCAAAGTTGAGAGCCAGCAGCTGCTTCTGAGTTTCCCGTGTTCGGAGGCACATTCTTATGACATTCTCTGCTGCTTTCCCAGGCCACAAGCAGGGAGTTGGATCGGAAATGGAACAGCCAGTACACAAACTGGTGCCTGTATGGGATGTGAGCACCACAGGTGGAGGATTAGCTTGTTACATCACCACATCAGCACCAGCTTGGGAAATTGTAACAGGCCAAAGAAAAAAACTCCACTTTAAAAACCTGTTAGATTCTAGAAAGAGGGAAGTTCAAAGTCTTGATTTTTAAATATGTATCTCAAAATACCGAAGACTTAATGATAGCTGTTAAGCATTTGCCTTTTTTTCCCCTGGTTGTTTGTATTAGTTTCTAAGGTACATGTAGAAGGTTTTAATGATGAAGATGTAATATCACGACAAGACCATGAACAAGAAACTGAAAAACTAGAATTAGAAATTCAGCACTGTAAAGAAATGATTAAAACTCAACAACAACTTTTACAGGTAAATGAAACTTACCTTTCAAAGCTGTTCCCCTGGAAAGGCCAGAGTTTTATACTCTTACTAGATTTTTATCCTGTATTTGATACAAGTATACAACATTTTTCCAATCTAAATTAAGTTGTCTGCTAACAAATATATTACCATTCTTTTAATAGTTCATGCTTTGCTAGTTGACATAGTACCACTTGGGCATTGAGAATTCCTGCTTGATTTTGTTCAATTTCAGTCTTTGCACTAAAGCTTGACCTGCCGTCCCTTGCTTTCATTTTGGCTTGTTGGAGTGTTGCTGGGACTTACTAAATTTTAAAATTTAATAGCAGCAGCTCGCTACTGCCTGTGATGATGATACCACTTCACTATTACGAGACTGTTATTTGTTAGAAGAAAAAGAACGCCTCAAAGAAGAATGGTCACTTTTTAAAGAGCAGAAAAAGAATTTTGAGAGAGAACGAAGAAGCTTTACAGAGGCTGCTATTCGCCTAGGCTTGGAGGTATTAACAGCTGTGGGATTCATGAAAATTCAGGGGCGGGTCATCAGTAGGCTACTCTACATTCTGCTGTTAATTGCTTCTTTGCTATCTTGGTTTTTTCTTAAGTATTTCAGCTGACAGGCTGAGTGTATGAACTATCAGAATTCAGAATTTTTTTAAAGACATATTTTTTTATTTGAAAGGCAGAGTCACAGAGAAGAGACAGAGTTTTTCCATCTCTTGCATTGTCACTCCCCAGTGATGGCTAGAGCTGGGCTGCTCTGAAGTTAGGAATCGGGAGCTGCTTCAGTTTCCTGCATGAGTGCAGGGGCCCAAGCACTAGGCCATCCTCTGCTGCTTTCCCAGGCACATTAGCAGGGAGCTGGATTGGAAGTGGAGCAGCCAGGAATGGAACCAGCGTCTACATGGGATGCCAGTGCCATAGCTTGCCCCCAGCCCCTAGAGTATTATCTTTTTCACCTGACCAGATTTAAAAATGAGATTTTTTAAAAAAAACCTATTTAGCATTTCATCATTCTTTTCAAATTGGCTTCCTACTGTTGAGTGTGTAATTTCACACAAGAGATGGTATGTTTTGGGCATCTGTCATTTAACCATCACAGTAGTGTGGGTATCAGAAGACAGTGTACCCAAAAGCATTTTGTCTCCATCCCCAATCCCTCCCCAAGGGCTGCATGTGTTAAGAGTAAGCAGTAACAGTAACGATGTGGTTTGTTGTACTTATAGTGCACTTCAACTGATGGCCTCTTTTGTTGTTTTGTTTTGTTTTGTTTTGTTTTGTTTTGTTTTGTTTTGTTTTGTTTTGTTTTGTTTTGTTTTGTGGTGGCAAAGGCCTTAAAACCCTCATGGAAAATTTGCAGCTTTTAATTTTATTTTTTCATCAGTTTTTTTGAACCTTCTCTTATTGTCCTTTTAAAGATAGAGAAATTAACATCTAAATATAACTTAAAAAATTTAAATTCATACCAAAAGGCACGAAGTGAGAAAATGTGCTCCTCTATCCTCACGTGCACTCCTGAGAAGAACATTTCTGTTGGTGCTTCCTCTGGAAAGTGCCATTTGACTATTAAATGTTCTTTGTTGATAGTGGTTAGTCCTAGTACTTCACATCCACAATGTTCACCCTCCATATCTGATTTCTTGCTTCTGTTACATTTGTCCTTCGGGTTGCTTTTATTAATAGTGTGTGTAATACTGCTTTTTTATGCTTCAATTTTCAAACAATGTCAGTTTCTTCCTGCTCTACTTTTCAATTTGTAATATTAACAATTATTATTAGTTCATTTAAATTTTAAATTCTCTTATGTAAGTGTGTGATTCTCTTAGTCTAAGTGTAAGTGTGTCTAAACTTCAGACTAGAAAAGTGGAAAACCAGGCTAAATAAGCCAGTGTTGGGTGCAGTGGTTAAAATGCTAGTTGGAAAACCTGCATCCCAGATTGGAGTGTCTGGGATCAACTCCCAGCTCTGCTTCCAATTCCAGCTTCCCACTGATGTGCAACAGGGAGCTAGCAGGTGCTGTTGAAGCTCAAACAGTGGAGTCCCAGCCAATGATGTGGGAGACACACATTGAGTTCTGGGCTCGCATAGGCTTGGCCTGGCCCTTCCCTGGCTGTTGTGACCATACGGACAGTGAGCCAGCAGCAGATAGAGTATCTGCCAGTATCTATTTCTGTCTTTCTAATAAATAAAATGTAAAACAAAAAATCTGAGGTTTTCTCTTGCCTGTATGTTGTGAATCATCAAACTGATGTTCAGGATTTTGTTTTTATTGCTGGAGTTTTATTTCAGAATTTATCCTTTGAATTCCCTAATGTACTCAATTTTTAAAAGAGATTTATGTATTTATTTGAGGTGCAGAGTTAGAGAGATAGAGATCTCCCACCCATTGTTGGTTCATTTGCTAAATGGTTGGTTGGCTGGAGCTGAGCTAGGCCAGAATAGGAAGCCAAGAGCTTTGTCTAAATCTCCCACATGGTTGCAGGGACCCAGGCACATGGGTCATCTGCTGATGCTTTTGCCAGATGCATTAGTTGGCAATTGGAACCGAAGTGGGGAGGCTGGAACTCGAACCAGTGCACATAAGGGGTGCTGGTGTTAGTGACTTTTATCGACCACTGTCCTATTCTAAAACATATATAGGTGCAGTTAGGCAGATAGCAAATACAGATAACTAGAGAAATCACATGAAATGGCAACAGTGTGGATGCTGACATATTGATCATTGTTTCTTTGGTTTGTTTTTGATGGTAGAGAAAGGCATTTGAAGAAGAACGGGCCAGTTGGTTAAAGCAGCAGTTTTTAAATATGACTACCTTTGACCACCAGAACTCAGAAAATGTGAAACTTTTCAGTGCCTTCTCAGGAAGTAAGTGTGCCTGCTCATAAACTCCTGTCTGAAAACACACTTAAATAAAGCACAAGGGTTATTAACATAAAACTATGGAGATCACCAATAAGAGCTCTTTAACTGGAACTAAAAATCAACTTTAATATTTTATTTACTGTTGTTAAACTGGAAATGACAAGAAAACTATGCATAATAAAGTAACTTTGTCCTAAATGTGTCACAATCTCAGTTTTGACTATTCTCATTCTAGAAGTATTTTTTTTTAATGTAGTTCCTTCTAAATATTTGCAGAATGTACAGGAAAAATCACAAAATTAGTGAAATTCAAATTAACATTTTTGATTTTTTTACCTCCTTCAGAACTTTAATGACTCATGCCAGTTAGTTGCCTTGACTGTATTTAATGCTTCATCATTAATATGCACTGCTTGTGCACCCCTCACACCCCTACCCTTCCACCACCTACCCCTTCCACCCCTGCATTTTTTTTTCAACAGGTTCTGACCGGGACAATCTTATAATGCCCTCAAGGCCGCGGCAAAAGAAGCCTCATGGTGTACCTAACGGGTCTCCAGTTTGCACATCTAAGCTGACTCAGTCTCTTCCTGCCTCACCTTCTACTTCAGACTTCTGCCAGACACGTTCCTGTGTGTCTGAACATAGGTATTTGTCTGTGGGAGATTTTTCTCGCTCACTTTTCAAATTGCTTAACTTGTACTGTTAAGGAAAAAATGGTCTATCTGTTGTATTAGTGACAATAGAGACTTTAAAGAGGAGTTTAGTAGATTGATTTTTTTGGAGATTTATTTATTTGAAACAGTTCCAGAGAGGGGGAGAAGGCTAAGACAGAGATGTTCCATCCACTTGTCTATTCCCCAGGTGGCCACAACCGCCAAAGCTGAGCCAGGCCGAAGGTGGGAGCTAGGAACTCTGATTCTCCCACCTGGTTAGCAGGGGCCCAAGGGCTTGGACTATGGGGATGGGAAGCTGTATCACAAGTGATGGCTTTACCTTCAGTGCCCCAAAGCCAGCTCAATAGGTTGATTTCCTTATTCTACAAATAGTTTTCTCTGTCCCTACATGATTTTCTTTTCCTGCCTTCCTGCCTTCCTTCCTTCCTTTTCCTTTTCATTCTTTATTTTTTGTTTTCATCTGGAAGGTATAGTTAGAGGAGAAGGGAGTGTTCTTTATCCATTAGTTCACTCCCCAAATAACTAAAACAGCCAGAGCTGGACCTGTCTGAATCCAGGAGCCTAGAGCTTCTTCCAGGTCTCCCATGTTGGGTGTAGGGTCCCAAGAACTTGGGCTGTCTTTCACTGCTTTCCCAGGCACATTAACAGGAAGCTGGATTGCAAGTGGAGCAGCAGGGACCTGAACCACCACCCATGTGGGATGATGGCACTGCATGTAGAGGCTCGATCTACAGCACCACAGTGCCTGCCCCACTACATCATTTTCTTAGATACAATGTCAGACCCTGCTTCAGAGCCAATGCCAAGATTAATTTTGAACTAAACATAGAAGCAAAGAGTATTCTTAGTAAAGAAAGAGCAGTAGATACAGATGTGGTGTAATGGGTTAAGCCATTTCTAAAAACTGTCACCTGTGAAACAAGGCCTGGGAGCAAGTTCCAGCTAGTCTGTGCTTCCAGGCCAGCCTCCTGCTGATGCATGCCTCAGGGAGAGGCATCAAATGATAGCGCAAGTGCTTTAGTCCTTTTGTCCTGTACCAGTGCTGACTGACTGTTCTGCCCTTTGGGGAGTGAATCCCCAAATGGAAAATGTCTTTGTGTATGTCTCTCCCTTCCTCTCTCTGTATTTCTGCCTTTCAAACAAATAAGTCTTTAAAAGAAGGTAGCAAGGAGTAAAAAGAAAACAAAGGGTGAAGTTAGCAAGTGCAGTGATGATCTTTCCTCTTAAGCTGGGAGACAAGGTCCTGAGGGCCTGTGGTTTTACTAGTGCCTTGGAAAGTGAGATTCAGAGCTGCAAGCAAACTTGGCCTGTGGTAGAGAGAAATTGGTGTGGTAGAACTAAGTACTAAGCCAGCTGGCTGTCAGGACAAGAATTATAAAACAGATTTTAAAACCAAATATGAAGCTCTTTAAAAGAAGGATGAGACGCTGTAATTTGTAGTTGCTTTTCAGAGAAGTTGGGATTGGGACTGCAATCCAGCACCTGGGGGTGTCACATGCTGGGCAGGAGGACTCCCTGAACTGTAGGGATCCTGAGGCAGGACAGCACATGTCAGAGGTGAATGTAGTTAGTGGAATGTCTGTGGCCCAAACAGCAGCTGGGATTATGCCAGACTGAAGCCGGGGCTTCCTTCTAGGTTGCCAAACGTGGGTATCAGGAACTAAGGTACTTAAGCCATCATGTTGTCTCTCAGTGTATACAGAAGGAAGCTGGAATCCAATATGGAGGCAGGACTACAGTCATCACACCACAAAACCTATCCCATGCTCAGTAATTACTGGCTTGTGAGCAATATTGTTTATATAAAACTTTATTCCACTTCATTTGTGCATTCTCTCTTGCTCACTCACGCACACACATTTGGAGTAAATCTGTAAAGAATTTTAGTCTATATTTGCAGATCAAATATTGTTCTAAAGGCAATGGAAAAGCATTGGAGAGTTTTAAATAGAAGCTTGGAAACAATTTCAAGTTTTAAATAGAGTATGCTGTTTTTATTTTAGGGAAAAAGAATTGTAGGAGTCAGTGATGTAAACCAGGAAAACAGTATTGGAACAGAAATGAGAAATGGTGGCAATTTGGACAACAACCATAATGTAAAGATAGAAATGCTTAAACTTGGCGTATATTTTGAAGTTAGAATCAACAGGTTGACTGATATATTAAATATGGGAAGCAAAAGCTTATAGACAAAAGATAATGTGAGAATTTGTTCATGTAGGCTATTACAGAAATTCCCAAATTTGACACAAATTCCTTGTCACCATTTGGAAATAATGGATTTTATGTCTTAAGGATAGTGTAACTAACTTGTCTCAGTAGTCTTTATGTGTTTGAAATTTTTTACCTGACACAATTATTTTGGTTATGAGATATTCCTCAGAGGTGTCACTTTGAGTTTAATAAGCGTAAGACACCCTGTGTTTATGTGCTCCTGTCCAAGGACGTTGTGGATTAACTGTCAATATATATAAGACACTTAGTACATAGTACATTGTAAACCTTCAGTGACAGGCTATGGGAGGAAAAGATGTGATCAGGAATGTATTGTAAGAATGCTTTTTGTTTCTCATGTTCTGAAGCCTAGCCTCGCCAGCATCCATAGCATAGAAAATAAGATGTTGGTGCTTAAGAAATGGGCTATTCCAGCCACTCAGAATAAAACATAAGTGAGTCCTGTGAAAAATAGAAAAGCCTTGCAGCTTGACATTGATTTCTTGAAATGGTAAATTATTTGCATTGGGATCTCTACCTCCTGGAGCACCTTGGATTTGGGTTTATGTTTAGATAACAGCAAAATAATGTCTACAGCAATGACCCCTTTGCTCCTTTACTGTAGAAAAGAATTCTGTGGATAGGCTATGTCTTCATGGAACTCTCTTACTTACTTACAGAACTTGGCTGTGACACCTCTGAGGAATTGGGATTTTGGGGACTGACTCATTGTAAGCAATTCTTTTTGTAAAGGATAAATCTGCATAATCACAAATTTTGATTAAGTCTTTAGAATTAGAAGTAATTTAAGTTTTTTAGGGTTGCTGCATTATAAGGTCAGGTTAGTGGTAAAGAAAAATCATACAAGAATGTACATTTAGAAGAGTTTCTGTGAGAAAAATATGCTATATATGCAATTGGTAAAAATGTCATTCCCTATACTTCACAGATTATTAATCAATTAACCATATTTCTTTGTTTTGAGACTGGTTCAACCTAAATAATCTGTCCTCAATTTGTAGTCTCAGAATTACTTGTATAGGTTTTCATTAAATATCTAGAGGGACAGATAGACGTAGTAGGTGTGCATGAGCAAAAATATGGAAAAACACATTAGAGATCCGGAAATAGTGGCAGAAAGCAGTGTGTGGAATGTCAGTTGAAAAATCTCACATGTTCTCTGTCCACCTTAAGTTTTGTTTGGGCATGTGATTCAGAACAGACTAAAGGATAAATAAACAGGTTGGTTGATAATTAAGTGAGATATAAAACTGGCCAGTGAGGCTATTTGAAGCTGTTCTGTTTAATGTTCTTGATGATGCATCTTCAAAATATCCTTGGCACAGGGCAGGGGGGCCATGGGACTTCAGATGTTATTCAGTTGTACCTAAAGTGTATGAGGAACAGGGGAGACTTAGGAAGATCTTTCTTTTGTTTCCAGCAGTTCAATCAATGTGCTTAATATAACTCCTGAAGAAACTAAGCCAAATCAGATGGGACGAGAATGTACAAATCAAAAGTGGAATATGGTGTCAAGACCTGGATCCCAGGAAGGTGGCTACAGTGGCTGCTTCTCCCCCTACACAAATGCTCATGTGGAGAAAGATGACTTACCTTAGACTCGCCAGCCAGCCAGGATGTCTTCATGAACCTGTTCATCCAACTTCACATCTGAGTTGAAAACAGGGTACAGGGTATATCATAAAGTTTGTCATCTCTGATGACTTCAGGTGGTCTGAGTGATCTGTTTGGTCTCCCTTGTCTTCCCCCAAAGAGCTGAAACGTGAAATCTGTTTAAACAGATCTAAAAGCTTTGGACATGTATTTTTAGTAACAGAAGCATCTGGTTCTGTGAATAAAGGAATGTAAGGTGTTGGGGTAGAAACAAAGCACTAGAATGAGTTTCCTCTTACAGGTAATAAAAACAGCACTTTTAGGAAATCAATTATTGTAAATGCTTAATTTTTGTCTCAAATATAGTTGGAATTGGAAGTTTAGTCTTTACTTGAATGTATACTGTAGATTTTTAACAAAGCAAGTTCTATATTTATTATGTTTAGTGTGATTTGAAATTACCTCTTTCATATGTTTTAAATAAAGTGAAATTTATGTATGTTTTGTATATAGATACACATGATTATGTTAAAAGCCTTTAAGATATAGAAATTTCGCACAACCGTAAGTATAGCATTTCATGCCAATAAAGATTTTTTTGGTTAAATTCTGTTTATAGATATGTTAGGTCCATTGCCACATTGCATTTAAATTTTTTTTTAATTCATCTTGACAGTATATAGTCAAAGTTGTACCATGAAGCAGTGTTCTTTAGATAATCAACATTATTAATATTACATTTTTGAGATTTTTACATTAGATTTTTATTTTATATATGTAGAATATTAAAAGGACTATTGATTTTAGAGTACGGGGCAAGACAAGTAAAAATGACTTTGAATGGAACAATCTAAGAATATTGGTTTAAGGTATTTGGATGATGGAAGATAGTTAAGATATCTGGATGGTGTTGTTTCCCTTAATAGATGAATCCCAATTCAGTCATTTCTGTACCGGCTAGGGCTTTGTGTCATTGCCAATAATTTTAAAATAATTTGTTCTCAGTGAGACCCCACTGATGCTCAAGAACAATGACAATGTATTTTACAATCCATGTTCTCTGGACAATCTTTTGTCATTGCATTTTCAGAACAGTCTTAGACTCTTTGCTGTCTCTCTAATGTCCCTGATTGCATGTTTCTTCAAGAAAAGCATCTTATTACTGATAGTAATATTACTGTAGGTCCCAGATTTTCATCAGAAAGCTTTAAGTGCCTACCCTTGCTTGTCTTTGTATATAAACGCTGACGCAGATCCTGTCTGAGTAGTCAGGGCCACCTGCCTGCCATCTTCTCCCAAACCCTGTTGTGGTTGTTCCATCTAAATTTGTTGTATTCCCCCCTCCCCAAAATCGCCTATTTGTGTCATCTGTTTACTTACATGTGACTCTTTGGAGTTGGGTGGCATCAGCCATATTTTTAGGGCTGATAGGGTAACATTAAGAGTATCTTATAATTTGTAACATAGTAACCATATTTAGGCTGAGCTGCTGCCTCTTAAACATTAGTCACTCACTGCCTTCAGCTTGATGCATGACCACTTCTTTGCTATATAGAATATTACAGATGTGATGGAATTTCAGAGACACTGCCATATCCCAAAGGAGGAGACTTGGCTGAGCTCTAATTATTTTGTTGTTGAGCAATAACATGATCAAAGAAAGGTCAATTTAAAAAATCGCGATGTGCTTGTCACAAATTCCTCACCATCACTACCACCTGAGGTTTCCATGTGGTGTTTGCCAACTGTGAATATTTCGGCTTTCAGTGCCCACCTCTCAAGAGAACACTGTATTTCATGACAGTAATTTTTAAACAGTCGGTAGCTGTTTTTGTTGTATGTTTCCATTTTAAAGAGAACCTTGTTATCTGAAAGGAAAAATTGCTTGTCAAACAAGCAGTAAAATGGAAGTCAGGCTCATCTGACATTTGCAAAGACAACAGTCCGCCCGTTACCCTGGGCTTCGCAGAGTACTGTCACGATGCTCGTGTTGGAAACCCCTGACCACACACACACACACACACACAGTTCTTTGGGTTTTGTTTTTCTTTTCGCTTTTCGCTTTCCAGGTAGATGCCAGACCCAGACTGCAGTCTCTGCTTTAGCCATGATGGGATAATGGTACCACGGAATGCTGTCACTTCAAAGTCCTCCTCCTAATTCTATATAAGCACTTTCTTATTTAGCAACATGCATATCTAAAATGTTGGACCTCATATATTTTTACATGGTATATCAACTTTGAATTTTCAAAGCATATAAGTGACAAAGAAAAACTCTAAATATTTTATTTCTGAAATGCTTTGTTTGCTGTTTATGAGGATGAGAAACTTAGAAGAATCAATGATACCAGCAAGTCAGAACTAAAATTTAGCTTAGAGGGTATTTTTCTATGGAAGCAGTATATTAAAATGATTAATTTCAGAGCATAGTCTATAGCAATCTATTTGCTGCATGATGGAAATATTGTTATTTGGAAGATGTGCTCTATATTTCCTACCTTAGCCCACTGGGCTCATTCAGTTGGTTTGTTAGTAACATTGTGGTTTTGCTTTTTTTTTTTTTTTTTTTTTTTAAGAAAATACATTCCAGGAAGATGAGGAGGGAGCTCTCTGGAACCTGGGCCCAACCTCCCTGGTGAGCCCTAGGGGGTGCACCTGGATGATGGTGACGTCTAGCCTCTCTGCAGACTCTGTAACTCCTGCAGGTGCATTGCTACATAAGCAAGGACGGGACATGGAAATCTAGGCAACACACCCTTCTTTTCGTCCTTTCTTTCCCAATCTTTGATGAAGCATTTATCAGATACGTGCTGTATGTCAAACTTGTCCTTGCGGATAAGAAGATGAGCACACTGTCTGATACTGAGACTCTGAAATAAGTGGGAAAATAGCTGTGTAAACCTCACACACTGTAATACTGATAGCAGTTACACACTCATTCTGTTCTTAAAACGTGGACTGGTGTTTCTGTATGGGGGCCAAAGAACCAGTTTGGAACAGTGACATGGCCTCATTTTTGTGGAAGGTGTTAAGTGTGCTAGCTAATTATTTTGCTTTTATGGGTTGGTTGTCTGATAAAAATGTTTGTAAGAGTATAGGATTTTCTCGCAACATGAACATGAGTTATTACATAATAGAAAAAGCATTTGCATACTTCTGTGTGATGTGAAACACAATAAACCAGGTTTTTCCAGCACTTTTCCTAGGTATCATGTTCTTTTTTTCAGGCTGGATGTAAGTGTAAGAGTGGAGTGGACCGTTGATTAAATTAATATAAAACCTTTCTCAACTCACTGATGTGTTTTTTATTGTTAATAGTTACAAATAGATTTTAAAGAGTTAGGAACATATCATGTTTGTGATTACACCTAAACATCTTGGTAAATATCCACCACAATATTCATGTATTTAAGAAATATTTGTGCTTACTATAATGTTTAACACATAGTATGCACAGTATTGATATGTAATATAAAGTGATGGTAAAAAAAAATTTGTGCATTTCTTCACTGCAATGAATAGAATATAAAAGGTTAGACTCCTAAAGCTGTTCTTTTTTGGAAGGTAGGAAGCCTATTTTGTGATTGTCTCCAGTTCTATCTCACTTCAATTCTTGCCCAGAGTACTAGGTAGAATAGTCCATGCAAGAGAGAAGAAACACTGTGTTGGTGTGGCATAATGTAGACATGTTTTACTCATGAGACATCCAGGATGAATCCTCCCAAGTTGTGCCATCTGGAATGTGTGATCCCCAACATTGCCAGGTTAGCAGAATGGAGCATAGTACATGACATGGTTACCTGAGAAAATCTAGGAAAAGGGAATTAAATGATATACTTGTCCCACAGTAGATTTTTAAATGTTAGTAGTTTGTCTTCAGAATGTTCCGGAGATAGTTTTACCTATTTAGTTGTTTGGATATCACAGTATATTCTTTATTTTCACAATTCTGCAAAACATTGTTAAGCTTCCTATTTTTAGAGTTGATAACAGACTCAGATGTTAAGTGATGAACCCAAGGTCACAGAACTAGTGGGTGATAAACTAGACTTAAAAATCCTGTATTGGCAGGTGTTAGAGCAAACCAAACTAAACTGCAGTGTAGGACATGCAGATCCCATAGCAGAATTTTGTTTTCCAGTCCTGACAACTCCGCACTTGGGGTTTAGCTTGCTGCTAACACGCCTGCCAGGCAGCAGGTGCAGGCACTTGGGTCCCTGCCACTCATATATGGGAGACGGATAGAGTTCCAGGCTCCGGGATTCAGCCAGGTTCAGCCCCAATTGTTTCTAGCATTTGGGTAACAACCTAACAGATGGCAGATCTCTCGCTTTTGCTCTGCCTTTCAATAAACATTTTCTAAAAATGCTTCTTAACAGCCTGTTCTTTAAAATTTCCAATCTATTCCACGTTGTTGCAATGCCTGCTAGTATGGTTTTCTAAATGGAACTTGTTCATTTCTTAACTGAGTGCTAATAATTATCAGCACCGAACGTCATCATCTTTGGTCCTGCTGCAAGACTTGCTTTCTGCACACTGCTGCCCTGCCCATTGATTCAGGATTGAACATCCACATGTCTAACATGAGGACATAAACAGATTGGAAACTGAGAAAGGAGCATATGATCACGCAAAGGCCACTGAATAATCTGGAGCTCAGCCTGGATAATCTGGTTTCTGCTGCCCTGCCTTCAGTTTCCCTGCACACTGCTGCCCTGCCTGCATCTTCCCTGTGCAGCTTCCCTTCACGCAGCTTTCCTGCCTACACCTGCCCTGCAAACTGCTGCCCTACCTTTAGTTCACTCTTGGCAGTTAGTCTGTGTCTTGTGTCCTCTATGGCCATAAGCCCAGTGACCAGAAACTTCTGGTATTGTCTAAAGGTCCAGCAAGCTTTCAGAAGCATCTCATTGTGAAAGATGAAGTGATGGAATTAGCATCTGTCTGTGGGGGCTCAGTTTAGGGAGAATGCCTTCCTCCAGAGTGACTGTGCCTAGTCTAGCTTTTTCTGCTACATCAAATATTTCCATTCTTTTTTTTTAAATAATTATTTTTATTGCAAAGTCAGATATACAGAGAGGAGGAGAGACAGGAAGATCTTCCGTCCGATGATTCACTCCCCAAGTGACTGCAACAGCCGGTGCTGCGCCGATCCCAAGCCAGGAGCCAGGAACTTACTCCAGGTCTCCCATGTGGGTACATGGTCCCAAGGCTTTGGGCTGTCCTCAACTGCTTTCCCAGGCCACAGGCAGGGAACTGGATGGGAAGCAGAAGTGCCGGGATTAGAACCTGTGCCCATATGGGATCCGGGCGCATTCAAGTTAAGGACTTTGGCCACCGTGCCGGGCCCCAAATATTTCCATTCTTAATCCTTGTCTGCCAAGATGGTTTCAGTCTTAACTATGCTACCTGTTTAGCAAACAGCACCTGAGTGAACTGATTAGAAAAATCAATTTCTAAACCAGCAGGGGTAGAGCTGTCCTTATCCAGCAGGTATGAAGTCAGCCAGTTACTTTCTGAAGTTCCAGCTTTGCTCTCTCGAAGCCCTGCCTTGAACCAGTCTGCTAACCTGGTTTTTAACTTGATTATACATGATAAATTTTTATAGGTGTAATTTTTGATCAGTGAAGAGGTTCAGTCAAATGCTATTCTCACAGTTCCCCGGGAATGTAGTAATTTTGTGAAATAGCAGTTTGTTAACTATTTTTTTCTTGAAAAAATCCTATCTCTAAGGGCAAATAACATTTTTGTTGTAGGTTTCTTTTAGACAAAGAAGTAATAGTTTAATAAATAGGGCAAATACAAATTATATAGTAAAACTAAACTTTTCCAAACATGATTTTTCAGATTCTATCTGCATGCCTCCAAGAAAAATGGAAGCCCAAAAACCAGTCCCACAATGCTTTGGCATACACATTCCCAAATCCTGGCGGTAAATCACTGGACTTTGAAAAGCTTTGATCTTTTGAGTCTCAAGTACTATTGCCCATTTCTATCAAAGGCAAAGATCTGAGTTAATCAAATATGCTTTTAATTTAAATTCTTTGATTAGAAAAAAGAACCAGGGTAAATTTCAGAGTTGGCCTCTGACCCAGGTGCTAAGTGCCAGGAAGTGCTGTATAGCTGCGACACAGCTGCAAGGACCGTGGCCTCCCCCCCAGCTGTGAGGTCAAGTGTCTACACTTTGTGAATCTGC